GGCTGTGCCCCCTCCCAGTTTCTTGTGCCCCTGGTAGGGCACATGAAGCTGAAAAGTCCTTGACTAGCATAAGCAGTACTTAGCAACAACTAAACCGTCAGTGTGTTATCAACATTCTTCTCCTACTAAATCCAAACCACAGCACTATGCCTGCTACTAGGAAGAAAATTAACTCTATTCCAGCCGAAACCAGGACACCATGTCAGTCAGGTTTGTGTCATTGCATGTTCTTATTCATGTTGTCCTCCTTTTTTTGCTATCCCCTTCTGCATCTAAAAGGTTCTTGATCAAAAACGCTTAAAGGAGCAGCAGCTCTCTCCTTCCACATACCCCTGCAAACTTTTCTACCTTTTCTTGAACTTCACTAAAGATGTCCCTACTCCTTTACCTGTCTAAAGAGCAGCAAAGGGACAACTTGGCATTGGAAAAAAATGATGGACACCTCTACCTTGGTCAGTAACTACTTTAACAAAGAAATTACTGCATTAAAGGTTGTGGATAGTAAATGGACAATTTTAATTAGCAGCTGTATCTCATGTTTGTCTGGAAGTTTCCAACAACACTCAACTATCCACCTACCCAACCCCTGGGTGTGTGAGCCTCAGGCAATAACATGGGGTTTACATGCGGGATATGCCAGAGTTGCCTTCACGTACATGAAGAAAAATCTGCAGCACATTGTCAGCTTGTCTAGATATTACTGAACAGCTTTGCAAAGAGAGAGGCTTCAACGCATGTCTTCCCACTGCTACTACTGCTTGGATTTATCCCGGTGTGGTTGCTACTGAAGCAAGGCTACATGACAGACAACACAAGTGCTTGGGAGAGATGTGCCTTTTTCTAAGATGACACCCTAACACCCCAACCAAGTCTTATGTGTGCTTACTAGCTCTGTATATTTCAAATTTCCTTTCTAGTGCTTAAGTTCTGCACCCAGCACTGTTAAAGGTGTCACTCTGAATATCTTGTAGACAGTATGCCTTCTCCATTTACAACAGTTCAAAGGTGCTATTGTTCTTAACACAACAATCTGACGATCACTTAACACAAGAGCATCAGAAAATACATACACTTGTTAGGCATCACTGAGGCTTAGTAATGAGATAGAGTAATGTTTGGTATGGGATCATAGTTTAAATCCTAGCACTCTTGACTTTACATTTATTGAACAGTCCTATTTTGTACAACATTGAGCATATAGTGTAACTCTGGGAACCACAGCTGTGACTTAGTTAATGATCTCAATAAATCCTACTTAAGCAGAGACAAGAAGAGAATTATGCAAATGGCTACTTCTGTACCACACGTACTCGATAACTGAAGACATACCAAAATAAGCTTCAGCATACAGACACCAATACTTTAACCCACGTATGTGAAAAATGTGCAAGACGGGGAACAGTTTACAGAACTTTATTTTAGAAGAGTTGCAGTTGCAGAACATTTATTACAAACTTGATATTAAGGGAAACACACAGAAGGCATATGTACAAAGAGGGACAGTGAAAAACGCAAGAAAGATGACAGATTTTTCAGACAGCTATGAATGTGACAAAGAACTACTTTTCTGAACAGACCTTTCTAAAACATTACGATTAAAACCTCAGTACAAAACTGGGGCTTTCTTAGCACTTGCATCAGCCAGTCACACTTGGCAGCTAGATAAGATGTCTTCCATCAGCCTCTTGTAGACCCAGGCATCACCTTTAAGCCGCTGTCGCCGGATACCCACTACTTCAAGTTTACTGAGTTGACACACTTCTAACTCGAACTCCATAGTTACTTTGCCAAAATCTGACCGTGTTTGACATTTCAGGGTATAACTGTACAAAATGAAAACCAGAATAATCATTGAACTGTTTAATTTTTTTTGCAATGCAATTTTGAATTAATAAAAACACTTTACAGAAATGATCCCATTGCTATTGAGGATTTTGGGAAACAACCCAGAATTTAGTGAACTGAGAACTTTGAATACTTGAGTCCCAGAACACTGTTGTTATCTGTAAGTACCAACACATGGTATCAATGTCCTACCCAGCCACAGGAACTACTGCTAGCCACAGAGCCCCATTCTCAGAGTGCAGAGCTGGAAGGATGGAGATGTTCCCCCATTTTTCCTGGACAAGGAAAAATCCTTGTCTCTCCTCTCTGCAGAGACACCACTGCTGAGAGGCTGGTTACAGCTCAGCTGGGGTGAAAAGTGGAAAAAACTGAATGTGAAGTTTAAATCACCACAATGGGAGAAGGTGCTTCTGGGCAATTCAGTATCCTTCCAGATTTTGAGCTTGGAAGTGCATCAGTGGTTGAAATATACTCTGATGTTCTACAATGCCTATCATTTAAATAGGCAAGAACTTTAGAAAATGTGTATTTGTAAGTGAGCACAACATTTCTTTCATGCATTGGAAAATTAGGAAACGGACATGAAGCTTCAATAAGAACTAGGAACCAATCCTACTCAGTACCTTAGTCTAGTTAGTAAATCCTACAAATTAAAATACAAATCCTACAAATCAAAATAATCCACACAAAGGTGTGTGAATTCTGTGTGGCTTTTAAAATATACTGATCTCTTGGCCAAAGAATGAGGGTTAACAGGTATCCACATTACCTCCCCAAACTGCCCGATTTGGTCATACATAACAAACCTTTTGTATTTACAATTTCACAAGAGAGACAGAAAATTCACATCAGCCTCTAAGAGCTACCTCACTATTACCGGTTCATATCTGTCACTCAAAGAGCTCCATTAGAGCTCACTTAACATTGTTTTGCATTGTGTGGACAAGTCTTATTGCAGACATTTATTTACTGCTCTGTACACTTTCTATAAAATTTGTCTATTTTACAATATGGGGCTGAGAAAGTAAGTTTAAATACTCCAATCCTTGATAAAGTGGAGTACTGACTATTCAGACAAATACAAGTTGAAGTCATCGTATTTTACACTTACCCCTTCTGAACATATTCCACATGCTTCTTTGAAAGAACAGTGATTATTTCATTCAACAGTTGGTCTGGATTCAGCAGCCGAGTGGTGGTAACATTATAGTGTGCCTAAAAGTAGTCAGCTCATTAAAAAACAAAAAGGTCAAGGTTGGGGGGAGCCAACCCACAACTTTCTCATAAAACTGAAGGCATTACAAAAAGTTCTCATAAAGAAAGCTTTGGAACAGCTAACCATAGTGACAAATGCTTCAACTTCGCAATATTATCATAACTAAGACTTGTAGTAGCAACAGGAACACTAAACAACAACTGCTGGACAATTAATATCAAAGCATGTCCAAACTATAATCCATCATAAAATCCAAAGTAGCAGTGATGGGCCAGGGCAGCACAGAGGCTATTAGAAGTCTTGTATGTAGCTAGAGGCTATTCATGGAGAGAACTACAGGAGACAGCCACAACAACTGTGCTTAGAATACCCTACTGCACGCTCCAGTTGGGAGATTGCCTGCAGTGTGTTGCCTAGCTGAGACCAAGCACTCCCAATATCAAGGAACAGGTGTGGTGCCATGCAGCTTTTCTAGGACTAAAGCATCACCATAGTTAAAGAAAAAAGGTAACTTGCTACTCGTAAGTTCACTGTTACAGGGGTTTTATATCACTTGTCCAGTAAGTGACTTCTTGAACAACTTTCAGACACCCATACATAACAAGAGAAAGCATATGCCAACTGTAATATGCCACAAGCGCCCTATCTAGCTTCTGAAGTCACAGAAGCAGATGAGAGAAGACAACATCATAAAATAGCTTGAGAAATGAACATAGGTTGAAGATGCAAAGTCAGAGTAAAAAAGACTGGTTCTTACAGTTCTTATTCAGCCTAAAATGTATGCATCTCTGTGCCATAACTGCTGTAACACTGTGAAATAAAGTTTTTCTTCCCCTATTGCACTCCGGTGTCCCTAGACATCCATCAGTAATTTTGCAAATACTATGGACAAGGGAAACTGATGCAGAAGGATAAAAGCTTTTAGAGACAGAAGATGTAGCTTCCATTTCCAATTGGTCCAGTTCCTGAATTATTTGCACAGTCTGGACTCCTGACCGATGAGTTGGTCAGCTTTGTAGCCCAAGAAATGTTCTGAACCTGTATGACTACCACCTTGCCTCTGACAAGTGCCTGTTGGAAAAGCTTCCAACTGGAATACAGTAGCTGAATTCCATTTACACAAGCTGCAAAACACAAAGTAGTCCTTCTACTGATAGATAGCCCCTGCTGTACAGTAGGTGTCCTAACAGCTGCAGCTCCAGGAGCCAGTCAGCTGAAGGTACACATCACTTATTTCTATGAACTGTTTATGCCTCAGTAACAGCCTTGCCTCTTTCACATTAATCATGTTTCTCAAACATGTCATCTACAGATTCAAGTATAAATTCTTCCTTGTATAACTTCTGAAGTATATTAGTTGCTTTTGAATGATGTATACACTTCTGTTCACTACATTAGTATTACGCCAACACCATTTGATGTGTATTCTACAAAGCTAATATTAACCTCACGAGTCAGCTTTGGTAGGTACAAATTATTAATGTAATTTTGAAGTACTCTGTGCTATGCACTATCTGAGGCACTGCTTTTTTGATGGTTCCTGGAAGAATAAGTAGTGAACTGGTCAGACACAGCAACATCAAAATTTTAAAAATCAAAATTATGCTGACAGTGTCAAAAATTCTTTTATAAGGGGTAGTTATTTAGGCTTTAAGTTTAATCTCAGGTTCTCTTAACATCTAAAGACTGTCTTGGAACAGACATATCACTCCTGGACCGCAGAAATCTAAGTGACGAACGTCATAAAAATTCCTTTTTTTTGTGTGGGAGAGCTAGCAGTATCTCTACAGAAATAACGCAATTAAAAATTTTCAGCTAGGGTTCCTTTAAAACCATCCTGCTTCCCTCAGATTTGGTTTAGATGGGATATAAAAAGCAATGGCCAGACTCCTCCCTTGATCTGTTGGTGACTTGCCTGAGTCCAGACTAACATGACATCTCTTGGCGATACCTGGGACATTATCATGTTAATGGGGATGTAGTAAGATCAACTGTACTTTAATGTAGAATGCAGGCAAATCAGATCACAGAAGTTTTCACACGACCATTTCTAAGGTATTGGATGTTTTCAATACTTATATTTCTTTTCACATAAGATTTTTCCAGCAACATACCTTAAGTTTCCTTGGACGATCTCTAGTGGATCGTTTCTTTTTGCTTGGCGTAAGCATTGTGATCACTTTATCTAGGCCTCTTTCAAGACTGCCGAATATTTTGGCTTTTCTCTTCTTTTGGCTGCTATCCACATGAGCTAAGTTGAGATCTAATTCCACTGAATGACACCTGTTACATGAACAAATTAATCAGCTATATTTCCTCAGTGTTTAGAAATTAGTTATTTCAGATACATTACTAAAATATTACCAGATCTGACAAAATGAAGAAAACCAAAGCAAGTGCAGTATATTGAGAGTTTCTGTTTGAAAGTCAGTTGAGATTTAAGCCCAGAGATGTATATAGAAACTGCAGCCCTCTGGGGAACTGGAATAAGGAATTTACACTATGGAGAGTAGGAATATATTCTGAAGATAATTGAGTTACACAGTTTTAAAACTTTTCTCTGCCTTCAGTGCTTTCTAGTGAATGTAGAAAGAGGTTTTAGGAAGATTTTTACCAAGAGAATGGAAATAACAGCTTGCTGTTGTAACAAGGCTTCCTAGGCAGTACATGGATTAAGGTAGTCCTGCTCTAAATCACAAGTGTACACAAATAACTGGACATTTACCTTTTTTCGGGAAGAACCTCAGTCGCTGTCAATTCGTCTGTGTTTGTTGGGTTTGTATGTTTCTTAATTGGGGTGGCTGCAGTGAACTGGCTCTCTGAAAGAAAGCATCCAAGCCAAAGTGGGTATGTTTTTGCATAAAGGATTTTCTTTTCTTCAGCATGGATTTCTCATGATTAATAATTTATTTCTAAAACCAGCCCCCTTTTCTATCTCAGGTCAGTATCTTCAGAATGATAAAATATATTTTTAATTAGTAACAATACTACCCCTACTCTACAAAGAGAAACTGCAACTGATTTCCCAAGGGCTCTACAAGTCAAGCCTTAGAGCGACCGATGCAGTTCCATATTAGAAATTTGGAAAGGAAAAGGATTAGATTTGCTTTCTTGCTCTGCCACTGGTCCCGGAATAAATACCGAGCAATTCACTGTGTTGAGTCGTTGCATCCTTCACCAAGCCATTTCCCTTATATGAAGGGTGTGAGTTTATATTGCCAGGTTTAATAATACACAATACATAACAGTCTAAAAAGTTCTACTACCCATACACTGACAGTTCTGCAGAGCATGATTTTGAATGTGCAGAAGCAAACACCAAGTGAAACAATCAGCAAATGAGTCATCACAATTAAACGCAACTTTCAGTGTTCAAAGTTTCAGCTCTCTACAGAATTGCACCTGGCCCCAGACAATGATGATCTCAAAATTTCCAATGGATACTTTCACTTTTCCATCTCTAAGAAAGCATTAATACCACCTTTCCTGAATCAAAGTTCTCTCAATGAAACAGAGTTAGCTTTTAACTGTTTAAACCTCAGAAATATTTCACTAAAATGAGCTGAAACAGTGTTTCTGCATTTCCCGTTTCAGAAAGAGTACCTACTTTTGCTTTTTAAACTTACCATGAAGTCAAACTTCACAAGTTACCACACAAAATCTTATGAGAAAAATCAAACTCATAAATAACTAGTCTTTGTAGTGCACTTCCTTAAATCCTTTACAAAGAATGTCATTGAACAGCAGTATGTCCACAATCCCTTATAACTTGAACCAGCCTGCAAAGATTCAGTAGATCTGAACAATGTTCCCTAGCATCTGGAACAGAAGTCTCTCCTATTGTAAGAATTCCTTGGCATTTAAAGGACAGAGTTAGCATTACAGTATCAACACCAAAACTTTTATGTTAATGTTTGAAGGGAATGGTAATGTACATACAGGATCCACCATTTTTCATAAGAATGGATTAGACATGCTGAGGACAGAAATTTCTGGTAACTCAGAAAAGCTGATATAATTTAGACAGATTTCTGTGGTCTATCACATAACTGTAAGATCTATACATTGTTAACAGAAGTACTTTTGCTGCCACACTGGGCTGTTACTGTGCAAGTGCTGATATGCTACCATGAGAAATCCAAAGTTAGATTTCTCTTAGAAGAAGCAATAAAAGCGGACTTGACTAAAAGTATACCTTTATTTTCACTCAAGGTAATAACAAAGAAAAACCAGAGCATTGAGGAAATAGTGTCCTCAACCTTCATGGAAAAGTGGAACCGGATGCAGATTTTATGAACACAGCACTTGGCTTCATGTCAGTGTGGCAAAAGGCATGTACATGCGATACTGTAAGCAGCCAACGACTTCTGCAATTAACACACAAGCAACGTGCCCTGATGTATGGTTAAACCTCTTGCAGCACCTTACCAGATGTACTAGAAGAACCAGCTTGGTGAATATGGCAAAAAAAGTTAAGTCTTCCAGAAATAGATATATTGGATACACAAGTACTGTGTTCATATCTTAACTTACAATAATTCCTAAGCAACATATATGTTCTAAATTTTCATTAGTTACATTCACCATACCTTTGAAGGCAGGTGCCTGAAAGGGTATGGTTTGTACTTGCGTCTCAATCTGACTCTTTGCAAAAGGAGCAGGAAGCGCAGAGGGCATTTCAATTCTTAAAGCTGACTCTGTATCAACATTCTCTTTGTTTTCATGCTTCTTTGATGCCACTTTTCTTGTCACTGGAGTTGACAGTGTGAATTCCATATCATCCAGTTGAGCATCATGCCTTGAATGCTACAAGAGATGTAACAAAAAAAAAAAAAAAAGACATCCTTTGCTGTATTCTGATCACATTCAGGAATGTTACAGACAAGGAAATTCTAAAATTGAAGCAGCTTAAAAATACCATACAATGCTTGCCTATTGAGCAAGACAGTTAAAAACTCTTCAATACCTCTGATTCCCTCTATAACTTGATAATAAACATCTCAAGTCATTTGCCATTTCCTTATCTGCTCTTCTAAATTCTTCAGCTTGCACATTTAAGACTATTCCTCACCAGCTCATCTAAGCACAGCTAAGAATTTTCATTTGGCTTAATTGTATAATTAATTGCTTCATTGGATTTTCTTGTCCAATACAGACAGGCTGAACTTCTTCAAAGACTTGTCCATCTATAGCCTAGCTCCCAGACCTTGCTTGCTGTACCTTAGTGTTTTCCCATCAGTTTTAAAATCCTCATTGCCTCATTTACTCATACCTTATATGCTGGTTTTATGGTAACCAAATGTCAAAGCTCAAGTTCTCATCAAATGAATCATGACCTACAGCTAAAGAAAGTCACAATTTATGTTCAGCTATATATTTAAAACATTGCTTTACTCAGTTTGTAACTTCTCTTGGCCAGGGTCCACCAAACATTTAAATATGTAATAAGTTTTATGTACAATGAGAGTAAGATGTTTTTTGATTAAGAACAGTAAATCTATTTTTTTTTAAAGTAACTAGTATTTATTCTTCAAATACCTGTTTTGTTTTGTGAGTATTTAGAATAAATTCTTCTAACGGAGATTCTTCAAACAGTGAAGCTGCATCAGAAAATACCATGGATCCAAATGCATGCGGCACTTCACTGCAGTCTGGCACATCTTCATATGTCACAGTTTTTTCAGACTGAAAAGAAAGATTCAGCTGAGATTCTATTGCACTATTAAATGGAATACTTCATCAGAAAAGTGTCATTAAAATCTAAACATGATTTCTTTCTAAGTTCCTAATTATGGTTAACACCTAATGGAAGTTTCCATGCTGGTGACCCAAGTTTTATAATATGAATTCAATATTGTCATTATGGATTTGTCATTTGTATCAAAAGTAGATATGAAATTATTCTCAAAGCACCATTACCAAGTCATCTTTCATGATGGGACAGGGAGGTGATTCGAGACAGCCAGCACAGATTCACCA